CATAGCTGCCCCTCAGCACTACCACTTGCAAGACCCTTGAGTGTTTGAAAACCTGAAGCCAAGTGACATTCATTTGCTTTCTGTGTCCTGCCTGCTTCACACTCTGTTTTGTTGCATTCTGTGATTTTCTCGTCAGTCATATGTGAGGGTTTGCGTGCAAGCAAGGTCTGGAGCCATTTCTCTTCATTGTTTGATTATTTCTTCCTAATGCCACATATACACTCCAGATGTTACCCAGTTTTTTATTAATGATCTTTAAATGCCTTGATAGCAACTATTTGGAGTCAAGCTCACTGATATATATGCCAAGAGACCATGAAAAGGCACTAAGCTACATGGCTAGTGACAGATGGGAAACAGCTCAGCTATGTGACACTTGCTTTCCATAAACTGCTCTATGGGACACTCTTGTACAATCCCTTCCTAAATGAGAACAATGTTAACAGACAGAACACTGACTATGGTAGCCTCTCATTCTTCTCGTGACATTGCTACTTTTGACTCAGCTGCAGTTCATTTAGCTAGCCCTAAGGTACAGTCTGCATACTGCCCGATCATATGTATTTGCACTCTGACACAAGACACCTTAGGTTGAATATGTAACCAGCACTGTTGGCAGAGATTGAGGCAGAACAGTTTCAGATCACGTGTTTAGATAAAATTTTAAATAGAGGACCCATTTTACAGATGAACTTTTCACAGAAAACCTATGATCCCCCATTTGACTAAGACTCAGCTAAGGTAATTAATCTATTTCTGACCCATCTATCCTTCTGTGCCAAGGGAGATCAAACAAAACAGTACTTAAGTGTCAATCATGGCAGTGTTTTTTTTTTTTTTTTTTTTTTTTTTTTTTTTTTTTGAGAATAGCAAAGTCTCTTTTGAAAAAATTTATTTATTATTTTTATGTGTATGTGTGTGTGCCTGTGTGAATTTATGTGCACCATGTGCATGCAGGAACCCACAGAGATCAAAAGGGGTTGCTGGGTTCCCAGAACTGGAGATACAGGCACTTGTGAACTGCTGCTGTGTGAGTGCTGAGAAACAAAACCCAGGTCCTCTGCAATAACCACCGGGCTATCTCTCCAGCCTGAGAACTAGACAGTCTCCTTTCAGTCATTAGCTCCCATTAGGTGTTGGTGCCCTGGAGAAGACTGCGATCCCAGGTATATCAGCTTTCTGCAAAAGACACTGTTTCTGATCCATCACATGGGGAAGGCTGGATTGAAAGTCACACAGGGATGACGATCAAAGAAGCATTTACACCAGGTGCTCCCCTTCCTGGAAGCCAGCTATCAATGTTCCCTTTCTCATCTGTGCAGAGAGTCTGAGGTGCAACAGACTTTGGGGTATATGATTTTGGAAGCATGTGATTCCTGGATGAAAACTTGCCTTGATTACCCCATGTATGTGTGACCCCCTACTTTCAATGTGTAGTGAAACTGAAATTCTAAGAACACAAGCCATTTTTAAGTAACAGTATTTTAAAAGATTCCTACAACTTAAAAAAATATGTTTATTTAGTGAAAAATAGCTGGTGAGTTAAAAAAAAAAAAAAGCCCTGATGTGACTGCTAAACAGAATAATAGGAGTGACTAGAAAACTCGTGTGTGTGTGTGTGTGTGTGTGTGTGTGTGTGTGTGTGTGTGAGTGTGGTGTGTGTGTATGCATGTGTATGTGTATGCATGTGTATGTGTGGTGTGTGTGTATGTGTGTGTATGATATGTGGTATGTGTGTGATGTGGTGTGTGTGTGTGAGTGTGTGAGTGTGGTGTGTGTGTATGCATGTGTATCTGTATGCATGTGTATGTGTGGTGTGTGTGTATGTGTGTGTATGATATGTGGTGTGTGTGTGTGTGAGATGTGTGTGTGTGTGTGTGTGTGTGTGTGTGTGTGTGTGTATGTGTGTGTGTGCAGGTGAGTTTTCCCATGCAGATACATGTGGAGGTCAAAGGTTGGTAGATTATCTTCTTCAATTGAAAACTAACCTTTTTTGAGATAGGATCTCTTACCAAACTTCACTTCCATTTTGGCTTGACCAGGAGCCCATCAAGCAGGCAGGATCTACCAGTCTCCAACTCACAGAGCTGAGGTTACAGGTGTGCTGCCATGACTGACTCTTCACTCAGGTGCTAGGGATTTGAACATAAGTCCTCATACTTTGTTCACTGAGCCATATCCCCAGCCCTGAAACTCATCTATTTAGAGAGCTTAAAAGGTCATTCAACTTTCAACATAATTCTTCCAGTAATGAGGAAGATGAAAAGTACGTGTCCATCATTTTAGAGAAATCTGCATGTTATTTTCTTGGATATCTAATACAGTGATTAAGTGAGATGGACAGGTGCTGACATAGTGAACCAAATGTGGCTAGAAGGATTCAAGTTGCCTTGGGGTGTGCTGGCAGGAGGCAGTGATGGAGACTCAGGACCTCACACTACCTGGAAGGACATCTCCTGACTAGTCTGGGTAGAATTCAGAGGAACAGGAGAGGTTGTGCTTTTCTGACGGGAGAAGAGATGACAGAATAGTGTGGCGATAACTTCACTGTCTTGGCCTCTTAAGCTAATGACAGTGCTGCTTTCTTTCCTAGCAAGAGGACTGAGATAATTATTTAAAACTTTAATATTCAAATCTTTTTAAAAGGTTTAATTTCTAAAACTACTACTGGCCCACTGACTCATGTTACATTTAAAACACAGGAATTAAATGACCACAGTCATGTGATGTGAAAGCACCATGACCAAACTGTCTATATCACTTCAAATTATAACGGTGCATTGATCATGAGTCCCCAAAGCGAAGAACAATGGAGCTGGACAACAATGTGTCAATCTATCGCTACAGGAACACAACATAATTTGTTTTTGGATTTCTACAATAGTCAGAACTCTCTCAGCAACATGATTCACTATCTAGTAGAAATGAAATTCACTGTGTTGATTGGCAGGAGCAACTCAAAGATAACCATTCCTTTGGCCCCAGCCCCTGCATCTATTGGTTTGCCAAGAAACAGCTTTGCATCTATAGAGCATGCTTCAGACAAAGCAGGAGCAGGGAGTTAGTTTGAGAGAGTTCATCATTCTCCTGAATAAAGATGAACTCATTAACCAGTGTCTATGTGTAAGCAATCAAGAGTTAATAATAATATTCACCAATAACCAACTGACACCAAAACCCATGACAGTCTCTTAAAACCCATCACTGAAGAAGGCTATCACAAGAAAGTGAAGTATTAAGTACTCATGACAACTCATAAGTGGAAAATTTTAAGAGAAAAAAGTAAATTTGAAGCATATCCTAAACATTTTAAATTAATTATTCATTTTCAACTTTGCATAACAATTTAGTTCCAAAATTCTGTTTTTATGTTCAAAGTGAAATCACATGCATTCATACTTATTCTGAGGAAAGAAATAGTATGTAATTTTTTGATTATTCATTGTCTAATTTCTCTACTTTCCATAAAGTGCATGGTACGAGTTTGAAAGATAGTTAATATTCAAAAATTATCAGCTGGGTGGGCTGGCACATGCTTTTAATCTAAGCAGAGACAGGAGGATCTCTGTGAGTTCAAGACCAGCCTAGTCTGCATAAGGAGCTCAGGTGGCTCGGGCTAAGCAGAGAAAGCTTGTCTCAAAAACAAAACAAAACAATCCACCTTAGTGCTAGAACACCGGTGCTTGAGGTGTCTCCATGAAAATTCACTGTGATTTAGACACATCTACTACAAACGGCAGGCTGTTCCAGGCTGCCCCATACTCATAATTTAATTGGCAAAAACAGTTTAAAGTAATATTTTAGAACTGTATTACTTAGAACAGTGGTTCTCAACCTTCCTAATGTGTGATCCTTTAATACAGTTCCTTGTGTTGTGGCGATTCCCCAACCATAAGATTATTTCGTTGCTACTTCATAATTGTAATTTTGTTACTGTAGTGAACTGTAATGCAACTATCTGATATGCAACCCCTAAAGGGTCACAACCTCTTGAGAGTCACTGACCTAGAATAATTTATTTCTGTGACAGAGAAGGAGGAAAAGGAAGAGGGGGAGGAAAAGAAATAAGAGGAGGAGGAGAGAAGGGAGAAGAGGATGGGGGGAAGAAAGGTGAGGAGCTTGACTTCACACTAGAAGATGTGGGCAGGAGAAGGGGAAGAGAGAAGAGGAGGAGGGAGAGGGTAAAGGGAAGGGGGGGGGGAGAAAGAAAGTCTGGGGAAAGCAATTTCCTTAGGTTTCAGGTGAAGGTGCTTCTTAAAATGTGGAACACGTATGCAAATTTCATTTGACTTTTACTGTACTTAAATTTTTTTCAGCAATTCCCTCACAATGATTATAGCAAATTCGGAATATTTTGCTTCTTTTGGTTTTAGTTTATTTTCCTCAAATAGTCTCTAAGGCAAGTCAGCCCCAGCTATGTTTAGACACTCATCACTCCCCGTGGAAGCATCAACTTTTCTTCATTGTCTTTGGACCACTGTTGTCTAGCTCAGGGATGGACACATGTTACAGCTAAATGTGGGAAGGTGTAACCAGGCCTATTTTAAATGGTTTTAGTTAGTAATTTAATCCTGGCCTCCTACCGGCAGATTTCGTTATCTCCAAGTCACCAGACAGAGAGGGAAGCCAGCAAGCCCTTTAGCCTCAGTCATCTGCCCGGGCACCCAGACTAAAATAGAAGCTTTCCACTTGAAGCTCTCTCTGCTGTGGGTATGTATTCTGAGCAGCATCTCATTGAAAGATAACTGAAAATAAATATTCAATCTTGCGTTTGTTGGGAGCTTGGTACATCTCACCTTAAAAACTCAAAAGAAACTTCCAGTCATCGATTGCTACAAGATGGTCGGTGGAGCCAACAAATGGAGCATTGGCCTGGGAATCCACTTCATGCAATAGAAACATCTTAAGGGTCACCCTTGAAATACTGTTTCACCAACAACTAAGTTAGAAAACAGTCTAATATATAACAATAAAAATCTTAAAACGTCAATGAGCTATAAGATAGCAGAACTAAGCCTCCCAGTCAGAACAGAGCAAGGGGTCAGAGGTCAACAAAGTGCACAGGAATTTCCTACCTTAAACACATTGATGGGGGAGATCAATAACCACGTAGATAAGGTCTCCCAGGGCCAGGCTTGCTATGAGCGCATTGGGGCCATTCCTCATACACTTGTTCTGGTAAATGATCCTAAGCAGAGTTACGTTCCCCACCATTCCCACGATGAAGATTGTGCAGGATATCACAGTGGTGATGTATTTGAAAGCAGATGTGATTTTAGTCTGCTGTGGACAATAGCTATGCATTGAGCCGTTGCTGGGCAGGACCAAATTGGTAGGTTGATGAGTGGTACTCGGAGAGTTGAATTCTGTCCCCAGATAAGAGGTGAAGTCCTCCACATGGCTGCTTAGGTTTGTGCTGTATCTCTCAGGATTGTCACTGATTACTCCTCCTACCAGGGCCAGCCAAAAGGATGCCATGAGGCAAAAAGTATCCATCTTAATGTAAATTGGAAGAAATGTCTTATGTCACTTTTATACTCTTCTTTCTTTCACCTGAAAGAAAAAAATAGGAAAAGTATTGTTATTGTTATTATTGTTATTTGCTACAAAATCTAGCTGTCCCCAAAGATCATAGGAAACGAAGTGTTCACTAATTTAATGAAAATATAAACCATATTTGGTAATTAGGTGTAACTGTGTCAGGCTACCCATGGCAGACCAAAAGGCCAAAGATTTATTACAGCAGGCAATGACCCCCATCCCCTCCTCCCTCCATCCTTCACCCCCCCAGGCTCTAGCTATAGCTCTGTGTGTGTCTAGAACACAATAGTAATAAAGATGTTTCAGTTTTCCTTAGAGATAGCAGTTTCTCTCTTAATTCAGGCTAATGAGAACCCAAATCTTCCAGGCACTGTGCCTAATATGTCATGTGCTGCTGCTGTTTAGCCCATGTGATGATTCCATGAAGTCACACACAGGTCTATCAGGAGGACAGAGAAGCTAAAAGGGAAATCCCAGTTGCTCATGAGGTCACAGATGGTTGCATACCCACAACTCTGATGTAGCTCCATCTGACTCCAAACCTGAGCTTTAATTATTGTCATCCTGTCTCTCATTTTCATGCTTTATTTGTGCCAAGAACATACTGAAGATGTCTCCAGAGTTTAGACAGAGCAGCAGACTGGGAGGGGTGGTCAGGTATGATCAAAAGACTATAGGCATCCATTTGTTTTGCCACTTGCAAAGAGTGTATGGTCCCTCCTGCCCAGTAATCTAGGTTTCTTTTCTATCTCTTAGAGAAAAGACACCAAGACACTAGAAAGCCAAGGAAGGTCAGTAAGAGGCTAACAATCAAAGGCAAATAGCTCCTTCTCCTTCAGTGTTTTATACCTTTCTTTATTCATCTGTAAATGAAGACCGTGACTTCATTTATGGGCAGTGGTGTGTATCTAGGGCACACACAGCTAATCCCAAGTTTTGAGACTTACATTCTTTTCTGGAGTCTGCTCAAGGCTGTTACTGACCACTTTTAGGAATTTTGACAGTAGTCATCACTACGTTTAGGCTTAGTCAGTGTGTGGACAAAATAAGACATGTTGACTCGGATAGGAAGTAAATACCAGCAGAGTACTGTGTACTTCTGCTCCCCAAAACAACATCAGTATTTTACACACCACACCTGACAGATACCATCTGTTTCTTGACTTGAGCTTTACCACAGCAGTAGTGGCAGAAGCAATGTCCACACTTCACATGAGAGAAATTGAGTCTTGAGGTGAAGTGACTGGCTTCAAAGCCTAAGAGTGGCAGGACAGCCATCTCATCTCATAGCTGGGTTGTAGGGTTTCACTTGCTGCAAAGCCAGGGACCTGCCATCTATCTGTCACCTCTGTCACTTCTGCTTACCCTTAATTATAAGTAGTTTACAGATTTCCTCTCAGCATCTGGCTGAATTATTAGTAGGCCTACAAAATATCATTTCCTTTCCCAGATGGAGATCAGAATTCCAAGAGCAGAGCTTGTTAAAATCTGCTTCTTTGAATAACGAGGGAGGCACAGTTCTTTAACTTCTTGACTGCTTTGTGACTAAAGTTCTAGTTTTCCAACAGGGATGGAGTATTCAGTAATAGTTTCCTTAAATGAGAGGCAGAGGTCTTTCCTGTAAACAGAATAGCTTCATGATCTGCTAGGACCATCCGAGAGGTGACTTCATGAACCACTTGGTTTTCACTGACACTGGACTCTCCCTAGTGCTCATGGGAGCTTGCTGCTTTCTCTATCAGCTATAGGCACTGAGAAGGTCAAAGACGTGGCTTCCCATCATGGTGTCAGCCAGCTACCATTAACTGCCTTCCTCCCCTCCCTTGCTTCCTCCCAACAAAGACACCACCAGAGAGCTCATTTTTCCTGACACCTCTGTCAGCTCTCCACATCTAAGGGACATCTGTCAAAAACATGTGGATACCATATTGTCACAGAATGAAAAAACACAAAACCAAATGAAAGAAACCTCCTTCTTTACATGCTTTTCCCAGGATGGGTCTGGAGCTCATTTGGGTGTGTTCAAGTCAAGCTTTGCTAGGCATCTGTTGTCCTCAGCCACCACTCTGGAGAAGCAATCTACACTCAAGGAGGAAGGACATGTCTAGGGATTCAGCAGTTCTCCTTTTGTGGGTCTAAGATTTTTGGGAGTGCTTTAATAAACCCTCAGCACTTCACCTATTTAACATCTGAGACTCTCAGGACAAAAGTTCACTTGCCATTAGCAATTTGGAAATTCTCATGGCACCCAAACCGCACTGTTTAGGGCAGGTAATTTGCATGACATGGTAGCCAAGGTATTTCTCAGTTGGTCAACACTTTAAAAACGGATGGGTTGGTGGGGGTGGGTATCCATAAACAACTACAAGGGTAGTTTAAGAGCTTATGTTCAGATTCTCGGTGCTTTTGCTCTCTGACACTCCTTGGTGGCACTGTCTGCCTCTAATATGCCTTCACCCCTTGTCTGCAGGGTGAGGCCATTAGGGCCATGTAAACAGATGTGGCTTATCTACAAACTGCTAGTGTTCTGCACGTGAAAGGCAACAAGTGCCCTTTAAAGGACAGCGGAGCAAACAGCCCAGACCTCCCACAACAGATTTCCAACACTAGCTGCTGCAGTCATGGTGTGTGTGAGCAGGGGTTCACAGACATGGATCTTCACAGTAAGTGTCCTTGGCTACACACACCCAGGGTGCGCGATGCGAACAGACTACAGGGTCAACTTCATCAGTGGGCCTTGGAGCAAGCCTTGGGCATGATGCTACTGAAAGCTCTTGCAGGCCTGTGGAGAAAGAGACGCTCCTGGGCCAACTTCTTTTCCTAAAAATCAGAGTTTGCCTGAGGATGTAAAATGCTTTTGATCTTTGGTCAAAGCTCTGCTCCACACTCCCCCCACTCCACCCCACCCTACCCGCACTAGGCTCCCAGGAAGGCGATCCACATTAGGTGTCAGGGCAGGTAGGTGCCATCCCCAACCGCGGTGGCATTTCTCGGGGCACTGTGAAACACCCCAGCTCCTCCCAGACGATTGTCCCAGGCTGCCACCCTGTCCTTCCTCTCAGTCCTGGTTCCCATTAGGAAAGACTTGTACCGACCTTGGAGATCTTTGGACAGAGACACCGCCAGGTCCGCGCCTGAGCCAGACAGAGCCGGAGTGGGAGAAAGAGGGTGGCGCGCAGGGTGGCCGGTGGCTGGGGCTGCAGCACTGCCTCGACTTGAGGAAACTTCCCCGGCAGGGCCCGGGCTCTTTTGGGGGAGATCTCGCCCAGCCTGCAACCTCCGGCGACGATCCGGTGGATCAGAGAGAGGCTTCTCAACTCCCTCTCACAGTCGCCAGGCTAGAGGAATGGGTGTGTGCGCGAGTCTCCCAAGCAAAAGCAAACTCCAGAGGAACACGCCTCCCGCGGTCGGTCCTCCCCAGGATCCCAGGCTTCCAGACTTTCCCCTCCACTCTGGAACCGAACTGCAGGAGCGTCCTATCCCTCCTCCCCTCCAGGGAACAGCCACCAAGCTGCAATTCTGCTGCCCCCGCCAGGCCCTGAAGGGCAGGAATCTTTAACTATTTCCTTTCGGAGATAAAGCTGGGGAGGGGGGTGTCTAGGAAGGGGAGAGAAGGGGAGGGAGTAGAGAGTAACAGACCTTAGTTGGGCTGGGCCTTCGGAAGAAACTCAAGACACCGGCCAGCCCGTGAGAACGGGCTTGTTGATCTCCAGGGGGAAGCCAGGGTTGTGCCTCCTTTGTCCTCTGTCAACTTTGCTTAGCTTGTGAGTCCTCCTCATTTTAGAGGAAGTTAGTCCTTGGATCAAGCGGGCACTGCAAAACTCCAAAGCCTCAGCCCAGGGCTGGGGGTAGAAGGAAAATCTGTGGAAGGCTCTAGTGTTTGTGCAGAGAAGCCATGATGCCCAAGTAATTGAAATGATAGTGGGAGACCCTACAGAAGACGGTGTCTTTATCACAAGAGTATATCAAGACCTTGTATGGTCAGATGGGAGAGTAGGAAAGCTGAGGGCCAAAAGCTATTGTTAACACCTGGGCTCCTCAGTGGAGGCTTGCCTGTATGGATGCCCTGCAGTAACTGTGGTGGAATCTACCTCCGTTTGTTCTTGGGACCTTAGGGAGAGGGGTATATGGGACTTATATCTATCTCCCCCTGGGATAGAATTTTAGCAACCTCACAGTTTGGTGGCTAGATTCCAAGAAGAAATGTCCCAATAGAGAGGAAGTGGAAACGGCTACCCGTGTAAGGTCTCGGCCCAGACACTGGCACCAGTGTGCTTCTGCTTAATTCTGTTAGCTACTGATCGCAGATAAGAGGTGATGCCATAGAGACCCCACTTGTCAATATGAGGAGTGCCAAGGAATTCAGAGACCATTTTGTAAAGATATTAAAGAGACAGCAGAATACCACGGTGGAAATGATTTAAATATTCCTCTAATTGTGTTGGACCAGGCATTATCCTGTGTATTAATCTGGTCTACCATAGCTTCTCCAGGAAGCAGCCATAATAATTGTCTTGGCAAATTGACATGACTTTTCAGAAAGAAAAGTTGGTGTCTCCTCCCAGAAGAGGCAGTGTTTAACTTGGTATGTGAAATATACTGGGCCTCAGGCCTTACTCACCCTGAGGCCAGAAGCTTGAACAGCAGGCCACCTGTGTGACTGAGCATGACAGTCATCTACTCTCCTCTACAGCACCCCCACTGGATCCCACCTCTTGCTGGTCCCATCCTGGTACAGAACTAGTCATTAAATGTTCTCTTTCACATCCTGTAGAATGGTCACTATTTAAACACAAATGAAAACAGAAAATACGAAGTATTGGCATGAATACTGAGAAATTCCTGTCTGTCATGGGAAGGGGTATAAAACAGATCAGTAGCCCTGGAAGACAGAACAGCGTTTCTCAAGTAACTAAGCATAAAATTAGTATGTGGTCTAGCATTCTGATTCTGGAGATGTATGCAAAATAGGCAGGAGATATTGGTTTTATG